GGATCACGCAGACCCCAGGGTACAACGAGAAGGCTGTTGCTTTCATGCAGCAAATGGTTAGACTCCCAGGGCTGGGTCTGTGGGTGCAAAAGACGTTTGGGAAGTGGAGAGGTGTGGCTGCGAGCCAACTGTGCCATGCAGACTGTCCTGCAGGTTTCACCTTTGAGCGTAGAACAATTTCTCAATCAGCTGAAAGCTAGATTTACTCTGTACCTTGCTGAGAACTATCTCTCGCCACTGGATTTGGAAAAAAATACTTGACAGAAGCTGATATTTTCACATGTGACTTCCTAAGGTCAAGCTTTGGTGCTCATACATATCCCAGAGCTTTCTTTCATTAAGATAATAAATATGAATTTACACAGCCAGACTTCCCCATTCTGCTCCATATATATATTTTTAATAATATGCTGGCGCTTACAAGAGTGAAAGACCCTGTGGCTTTTAAGTGCTACAGTAAAGTGCTTTTTGGGAAGGGGAGAAGGGGCCCTTGTCGCTCCTGACATTGGCTTGTCCCCGTTCGAAACCCCCACTCACTGCAAACACTACTGCCTGGCGTGTGCAAGGGTGTGCCCCAACCCCTCGCTCTGGGCTGTACTTATTTACAATAATGATTGCGGGGAGGATCTCTGCTGGCCTGTTTCTCACAAAATCACTCCGTTCACCACCCAGGCTAATCACTGCGGTCACTAATCTAAACACCAGAAGTTCGGAACAGACACAAAAAGTAACATCAGCAAAGCAAGCCCCCTTCCAGGCTCTGCAAAGGCAAAACTCCCACAGCTGCTGTGAGAATGCATGGAAGATCTCGGCTCCAAGACCAGAAGCTCATAGATTTAAGTGTCTAACCAGTATTTCTCCTGAAATACTGAGCTCTGCTAAACGCCACCACATCTTGTATCCAATAAATCCAGTGCATGGTGCTGACTTGTGTAAGACAATCAAAACATCTTCACGTTGTTCAGGATGGAGTTTGCAATATGAAATTGCAATATTGGGACATTTAGGATATTACTTGATTTATTGGGGTGTTTTATTTTGCTAGGAAAGATAGACTTCTCTGGGAGGAAATTCAAAGTTTAACAGTATCCATAAAGTAACACAAGAGAGCCAAGTTTAATAATAATGAAGATTTATGAAGCAAAGCCCAGAGGCATAAATTCTTCCCATCAGAGTGAACACACCTGACTATGGAGAATGAAGAGGGCTAAATTTACATTTTTTTGGGTACACCAGGCAGTTATTTTCAGCACTGCAAATGCTGTTCCTTTATCCCAGAATGAAAACATGCCGAGCTAGGTTTGCTGTTTATCAGTTGTGTGTCTCCCAACATATAAAAGGGTTTTCCCTATGAGAGAAGGATCTAGTCTTATCATCAGCTATTACTCAGTTATCATCAGCTATTACTCAGTTATCATCAACTATTACTATTGCTGGCTTTGGTCCCAGTGCCAGGCATAAGAGCAGAAGAACTGCAGGCAGCTCAGACCTCAGACGAAAACAGCTAAGTGCCTGAATTAGTTGTTAATATTCAGGCAGGACAAGGAAGGTAGGGGTGAGGGTGGGGATGGAGAAAGAAGGGAAAACACATGGAAATTCCCTTTTCAGCCACCCTGTGCTTCACTGTGAAACTGCGTGGTAAACCGAGCGTGCAGGGCCGGTGGTCTGCGGAGAGCCCGGGGCACCCTGACCCTCCTCTGACCATCCGAGCATGGTCTTTAGCATCTCTCCAGGTGCCTCTGCTTGGTGCGACTGTGACTTGCTTCACTCCATGGCAAAAACCGAACCAAACTGCAGGCTCCTGTCAGGGCTGGCATAGCACAGTGGCATGTTCACAAATACTGAAATCACACTGCCTTGTGATTTTGCAGGTTATTTTTCTTTTTTTAACTTCTTACTTTTCCCTCAGAATGTGAAAATTGACACTTTGGAGCTAAAAGCCCACGTGATGTTTTGATGACAACTTAAATACAGATTTATTTCAGTATCAGAAGACGCTTCTGTAACCCTGCATTGGCAGCGCAATAAAGCTGCCGACTCTGGTTCTCTGCCATTCACATTTAACTGAGGCAAAGTTTGCAGGTAGAACAAACAACTTCTATTACACTAATAGACAAAGTCAGAAAAAGGAGATAAGGTTTTTTTGGCACGCAGCCCTCCTTCACTTTTGAAGCCAAAGCAATTCTGATTTAAGAGCATTTTCAATCCCTCAGCTGTGTCTTGGTGCAAAATAAGTGTGACTGGTGCAAACCATGGCATCAGTGTCACCAAAGGACTGCCCACGGCGATGAAACGCACCATGGGTGCCAGCGTGGTCCCGCTGGAATCAGTTCCCATCGACTTCAGTGTCAACGGGAAATATGTGACCTCTGCATTTTGTAGAAGCAATCACAGAGGCAAGGTTTCCTACCTCTGATGTGTAATAAGTCAAATCATATGCGCTATTAAATGCACTGACATGAAGTGTCATTTTAAGTTAATTACACCAGCAGACCGTGACCCCCAGTCATTCATTTTTCATTGCTGTAAGGCACATTATTACTCACACAATTATGATTTAGAAAGAATCTGCACTATCATTACCTGCTGTTATTATTATCATTTAGCAGTAACTGGCTTTAGCTGTCTCTCAACCCTGCAGATAGGTTTGTAACAGCCATTGTATTTCCCAATCGAAAATGAAATACCTGGTACCCAGATTTTACTTCAAATACCACTTACTTTTAAGCCTTCATTCTGGTAGCTCTGCAAGATACAGTCAAGGGTCCCTTTGTACTTGTTTAAATAAACTCCATCTGCCTGAAGTCGACTTTTCACAACGTCCATTGGAGTAGCAGTCCCCCAGGAAATGGCTCCTAGAAAAACGCAGAAGTATTTGAACAGCTTCTCTCTATATTTCCTTGGCCGCAGGTCAGTGAACTCAGCAATTCACCTCTCATCTACCACATCGTATTCCTAGGGTTTTTGTTTCAGGGCATTCACCCTGCTCAGGCACAGGAACGGTATTTCTGGGAGTAAAGTTCCCTGTTTCTGGAAGAAGCATCGAGATTATGGGGGTTATGCTGGTAACCAAACCAGCAGGTTCTGCCTCAGGTGCAAATGCATCTTCTGCTGTGTTTCTGGTGGAGCATGGACGTGCCGTGGGAAGAGCCCGAGCTGCTGGGAACCGCCGCTTGGGGCAATTTCAGAGAAACTGGAGTCCTCAGATGATACTGTTGAAAAGCAAAGTTTAGCTGAGAATGCAAATAAGAGGCTGGTCCATCTCATGCAACCAGGATTAGGTTCCACGTGGCTGAGATATGTCATCATCCTTATAAAGAAACCGTCTGTTTACATTGATTAGCCTGCAGATGGGTGGGATGGTTTGCCTCTCTGAAAAGGTCAGCTTGTGACCACAATACATGGCCCACTTGGACAGAGAAGGGTTTGTCTGGACCTGTGTGAGTGTTGGGCATATTGGAGAAGCTGGCCAGGGCTCTGTTTATTAGTAGGAGAAATGGAGAGGTCGTTTTGTAATCATTACCTGAGCTAAGGATTGTTCTGCATTTAGGGGTCCGCAATTTAGAAATGGCCAAGAAATGGGGAGTGGGTGTAGGGGTGACCTTATGCATGTAAGCATGGTGGAGCAGGCACACGCCAGTCTTACTTAATGGCCTCAAGATGCGTCAGGGGAGGTTTAGATTGGATATTATGAAAAATTCCTTTACTGTAAGAGTGATCAGGCATTGAAACAGGCTGATCAGGGAGGTGGTTGAGTCACCATGCCTGGAGGTGTTCAGAAAACCTGTAAACATGGCACTTCAGGACATGCTTTAGCAGGGATTGTGGTGTTGCATTGACGGTTGGACTTGAAGATCTTAGAGGTCTTTTCCAACCTTAATAATTCTATGATACTGGCAGCTGTACGCAGGAAAAAAGGAAGATCAATAGCAGTTAACTCTGCTTCTGCTGCATGCAAGTAGGGTGCACACCCTCCTGGTGGGCAGCCAACAGGTTGAAATCCTCTTCTGGAGACATCTTGGCTGCCATGTATCACTGGCAATGTGATACTCAGGCTGCCAGGAGACATCCGTGGAGATGAAGGCGCTGGCTAGTTTCCCTCTCGCTGACATTGAGCCTGATGAAGATCTGATAACAACACTTCCATAGAGTTTGTCAAGTCATAAAGCACAGCCGTGGTGCCAGGGAACCTGGTCCTTGGCCAGGAAGGTCATTCAGCCCCATGTCCTCTCCTGGTGACCAGGAGGATGTGGCGGCCCCTGAGCCACCCCTGGGAACCTTCCTGTTCTTGTTTGGCCAGTGCTGTGGGAAAAAAATGGTGTTTACCTGCTACACCCCCTGCCAGCCAGACGGAGGAGGGATTAGGGGAGATGCATCCATCAGGGGTAATCCATCCACAGAAAAAAGTGTAGGGGATGAAATAGAGGCAGTACCCAGGAACATCCCTCAGAAGCATTGCTCCCGCGCCTCGGTATATTCCTGCTATCCCCTCTTTCTGCAGGACTGTCCTAAAGCAGTGAACTGGGCCCTGGTACACAGGAAATCCGGGAACTGTGGGCTTTAGTTTAACATTTGCTGCAAAAAAAAAAAAGATACCGCTGTTATAATAGCTGTATTGCTACAGGATTCCTTTCAAGAGTCCACCGCCATCCAACGGGCAGAAATTGCTGCCACCCATTTTCTTGGATGGGATCAAGATGTAGATTGGAAGAAAGTTTTTAGAAAGGGGACTTAGGTCCATTTTTGAAAGACGTTTGCACACTTCAGGGCTGATTTTTCTGCGATGTATTGCAAGCTTCCCAGTAGGTATGTGCCCAGTGAGATTTCCAAATGAGTTTAAGGCTATGTGCCCAATTTTCATGGATTTCAACCACATCTGGTGCCAAGCTGCATCTTTGAAAGCCTTGACATCTTCGGAGTCAGGCCCTTCCCATGTAGACCAAGTTGCTTTTGGAGAGAGCATTAGGTTTCTAAGCTGCATGGAGGCTTTTAAAAATGGACACAATATTATTTTATCAAAGCAATACAAAAATGTCAATGTTTCACAGTTAAACACCCCAACTGTAATCACGAGGAAGGTCTTGCCTGCACCTGGCTTACCTGTAACCCCGCCCTGAATACACCAGTGGTTTTCAAATGTACCTGGGAAATTGTTGAAGAGAGGGTGGAATAGCAGAGGGGGGTTTATGGGCACATACATGTGGGACTGAGAGTGTGCAGCAGTAGATGGGGAGCTGGCAGCACTGCTGGCAGCCGTGGTGCTGCTGGTGGGGTCTCCAGGGGACACGGCAGCCCGGGGACTCGCTGTTCCTGCCCCATGGCCATGTGGGGAAGGCAGCTCCCGCAGCTCCTAGTCCTGAGCAGACCTGCCCCTGTGTTCGTCAGAGATCCCAATCAGCTGGAAATGCCAGCGGAGATCTGATCAGTGTTGCTGACAAAAACCCTCCCTTGAGCTGAGCAGGACAGGGTTCATCCTGGAGCAGAAGGAAGCATTTTTAGCTCAACTGTGGTGGCACAAGGCAGCAGAAAGCTGGGCCTGTTGTCCTAAAGCTCTCAATAAACACCAAGAACTGGCAGAGAAAGGAATAAGAAACTCTTGCTTCCTACCTTTGATGTACGGCTGTGTTTGCATCTGTAGCCTTATCTTCACCAGGTCCACAGGAGTGCCGATGCCCACGGAGATGAACCCTGCCACCACGCTGGCCAGAGCCACGTCGGCGAGCACCGGGGCGCGGGCTGGCTCTGCGTGGCGGAGCTGGCTGAGGAGCCGCTGCGTGTTGCTGGAGACGCCGCACACCACGGCGCTGTAGGCCGCTGAGGAGCCGCTGCTTGTTGCTGAAGACGCCGAACACCACGGAGCTGTAGACGGCGATGCTGGCCAGCGGGAAGGACATGCCTTTGAAGAAGCCGGCCACCTACCCGGGGACAGGGGCAGGAGTTAAGAGAGCGAACGGGACTGAGCAGAGTAAACCCCAATTTGTCTATCAGGCCACAAATGTAAATCCAAGTAGCAGATGTCTCCTGGAACCAACCGTTCACACACGCTGAGCAAATTAAAATTAATTCGTGCTGCTAAGGATTTGTGAAGATTGTGCAGAACACAGGATGTGCTCAAAGAACAGGAACCCACGTAGAAGTCCCTCTTATGGCCAGCTTCTTTTGGCATCACCAAAGTCAGCAAAATACCTCCAGCAGAGCTTTGCCAGCAGGTACAAGCAAAAGAGCCGCTGTGGATGTAACACCCTGACCTATGTGGAGACATGAGCAGTGTCATTTATCACTCCGTGCCAGGAACCTCTCTTTTCCCTATGGGAATGACCAAGAGAGTTACCTTAAACAAGACAATGCTGTAGGGATTTGCAGGCTCAACTGCACCAACTTTATTGGTCTTCATGTAACTGCTGGTGTCAACAGTGATTTTGTACAATTGCTTGTATTTATCTATATATTTATTTGCATTTTCTACCAGCACATTTTAAATAAGTACTTACAGACTCATTTCTGTACACAGTGAGAACACAGTTGAGTGTATTTCCATACCCTTGTCCAGCTTGCAAACGAGTCTGCAAAACACATTCATGAAAAGCAATTAAAATCCCGTGCCTCCAGCCCAGTGAAAGCTCATGCTATGTAAACAATGTGCACTTTGCTTTGAGAGCGAATCCTTCCTTAGCTGTAAAGAAAACAGAGCAATAAAATAAGATATATATGCATCCAACCCCCTTGAACTTTGCCAGAAGCAGGGCTAGAAGGGACCTCGGAGGTCTGAAGCTTTCTGCAACATCTGGAATCGATGACTGTCCAATTGCTCTCGAGTCCAGACCGGTGACCCCGGCCCGGCACAGTGCTCGCAGCAGACTGCTGGTGTGCGGTGCTGTCATTGGCAGGGTCATGATTTGTGTGGAAAATGGAGAGTGATGTGCTCTGCTCTGTTTGGGGACTCTCAGGGGAGGCTGGGATGCCTTGCTGAAGGATGGAGAGGGGAGTTCCCTGGGGAGGCTTCCAGGGCCCTTCCCATCCAAGGTGGATTTTAAGACACAGAAATACTAAACAGAGCCAAAAATAATTTGGCTCCATCTCAGAAATTCTCCATGCTTCACTCAAAAATACGTTTTTACATCATTTCCAAGAAAGACATTTTGTTTCTGGAAAGCAACGGTTATAAGCCTTCCAAAAATGCCTACAACAGCTGTGAGAAATGGCGTGTAAGTCACGACAGAGCCTGTACGATTCAGCAGGCTTTCCCCTTCTCACATATATATATATAAAATATGTATATACACACACATATATGTAGATCATCTTTCATTCAAGCTGCTTACAAGTTTGCAATAAAAAAATCCTAACAAATGATGCATTTTGAGGGCTTGGGGGTGCGTGAGGAAATCGAAACCCTGTTTGGTTCACAGGACCTGTGGCTTCAGCAACTGACCTTGGCTGAGGCCAGAGCTCATTTGTTATGGGAAGACACTCAGGAGTGCTCTGTCGGGGATGTTTTTAGGGAATGGGGACAACACTTCTGGTCATACCCATCCGCAATGCTGCTAGCGGGAATGGCGGAATGAAGCCTGGAGGGACAGTGCCAACCTGTGCTGCAGGCAAATGCCCAGTCCCCCACAGCAGCACAGCCCCGACTTACACCAGGGTGAACCAGGGACTTTATCTGAGCGTTTAAAGCCTAAATGAGTGTGTCCCCCCCGGAGTTCGTGCCTGGGGAGATCTTCTGGCCAGCAAACAGCAGGTTGGATGACACAGTCATTTGGCCCAGAGCCCTGTAAGAGCCTCATCGGTGGGGTGCTGCTGCGGGACCCTGGCTGGGGAGCGAGAAGGACCAAAGCCCGGGCTCACCCCGGGGCTGCTCTGTGCAGCCGTCTGCCCGCACCCAGCACCCCCCCGCGCCTGGCCAGA